TCTTCAGTTGGCCTCTAAGTCAGGGGATGAACCTCACATAAGCATCTGAACTTCTCAAGGGCATGAACCACTTCCTGGTGACTTTAGTGATTCCTCAAGCTCGAATAAAACCTCTAGATAGGCCTCTCTTGATGTACATCACACTTGATCCCCTGCATAAATGCTAATGCAATGCTATGATAATGCTATGATGATGTTATGCTAATGCAAAAACAAGAAGGAAAAGGTTGGGCAAATTTTGGGGTGCAACATTACTGAGGTTAAGTTCAAATTGAAAGATACTTAACTGCATTAACATTATTTATTTCTCTTTTCTAGAATTGGTCTTGCTATTATTAGAACAAGTGAAGAATTTTTATAATTTATGAACAATAAATGATCATAGGTATGTTCCAAAATGACAAGAAAAGTGGAAGTGAGTAAATGTCAATAAATGCTTGAGAAATAGTCCCACATAGGAAATAGAACTCACATCAAAATCTTTATAAAAAGTTATGTTCATTAACTCAACAAGAAAAAAAAAGAGGATAAAGTACCACATGGACAAGTGTGGTGGTATCAAACATTATGCTACTTGTCTTCTCCAAACACCTTGTCTGTGTCGCCACCAACGACATCAACTTCAGCTCTGGGACTGGATCTGAGGGTGTGGGCATAGAGGTGCTACATGAGACTTGTAGGCGGCACTTGAGCACTTAGGATTGGCGTACCGGAGCAATCGAGCTACTCGCGGTGTTATACAGTGGTGTTCTGGTGGTTATTGCTCTTGTTTTTTATCGTTGCTTAAGTTTGAATTTTGAGTTCAACTAAAAGGATGTTGTTTCATCAAGGGTCACAACCTTGTGAAACAACACAAATATGACCTATAAATAAGTCATTCCGAATTCAGAAATCACATCATAAAACACATATCCTCTTTTTAAAAGTTTCATATTCTCTTTTCTACATTCGAGTTTTCATCCGTCTTATACAAACTCGAGTATAAGATTTTGCATTCAGAAGAATTTATTCTAGGAACCTATATCAGGGTCCTGTGTCTTTCCTTATTTTCTTCTTCACAATGTTTGTTGTCTCTTTAATTTCCATTTCCAAATGTTTTATTTCTCTCAACATCTTCAGCTAGCAGTTTTTCTTCGTAATTGATATGGAGTTATTTTCAAACGAGAAGGTCACTCATGCTCTCAGCCTCTTCCAATCCTAGCTTTTCTCTGAACATGAAATCCAGCCTTAGTCCCTTCAAATAATCATTTTAGTTTTTCATTAGATCCTCTAAATCCCACTACTTCTTTGGTGAATGTGTTAATGACTTAATGTACTCCTGGAGTACCTCTATCTTTCTCTGGTGAATGTCGTTGAGTACGACCATAATCTTCAGCTGATGTCTATGGTAGGTGAATTGGGAAGTAAATTCGTCGCATAATTTTCTTCAAAAGCTAATAGAGTTATGTTAGAGAGTCTAAAACCATGACATGATGACTCATTTGATTGTTAAAATGAAAATCTTGCATTTCACACACTCTTATCTTTGTGATATTTAAGTACAGTATGCACGTGCTCGACATGTTCATATGAGTCTTCAATGCCATCATAGGTTTCTGGCTTTGTAGGTTTTTCTAAAGACTTGGGGATCCGACAATCAATGGTGTTTTGGTGAACAAATTTCGGCAATAGTGAGCAGAGGCATGTTTGGTTGAATTTTGCTTGTGTCCCTTTCGAGAACGACTTCGGAGTGACTGTGTCACAAACATTTCCAACTGCTATGTTTTCTCAGTTGGAATTTTTATTGATTTTCTTCTAGGCAAATAAGTCTTGTATTTTGTTCCTGTAATATATTGAAAATGTTCACAATGAGTTTGTTTGCATTTGGTGCTCCTACTACAGTTTAGAATTGCTAAAACTCATGTGACTGTGGTGGACTCGAAAATCGGGGAAAAGAAGGATAATGTCGAAATGAGAAAATTATCCGAGAATCTTGAACAACCGATTGATGAATCGCAATTAAAGCTTGAAAATCTTGGTGTTACAGAGATTCTTCATTGACGACAGCGAAAATAGATTAAGCGTTATCTTGAAGGAAGTGAATCATTAATTGAACATCAGTAGTAAAAAGATGTAACTTAATGCAAAAATTTAATAGATGTGTTTATATATGCATATTCAGCAACATGTAAGAATTATGATAATTGAAAAAATAAACTTTAAAGTGAATAAAATGATAAAGTGAGAGAAGTTTTATTGAGCTGACATTTTTAAAATTTAAAAAAAAAAAAAGGTAAAATCAAATTAAAGAGTAAAATTCGAAATTTTTACACGACTTTACAGATTTCAAAGAGATTTAAATTGTTTAAAATCATTCCAGTATACGATTTTATTTAAAAACGATTTTACCTGCGATTTAATATCAAATACAAACTTAAAAATATAAAATCTAAGTATTTAAATTTTAAATCGTAATTTTAACTTTACAACACACTACTTATATAATTGTTATTGTTTTCAAGTGAATAGAAGAGATTAACTACAAAAAGTTATTATTCAAACACTCAAATCAATTTTTCAATTAAAAAAACATTGCAAATGTGTATAAAGAATACATAGCCATAACTCCTAGTCACATTTATATTAAAAAAGACGGTTAGAACCGTTCTCAATTTATCTGTCGTGAAATGAGAACAATAGGATGTGATCAAAGGCTAAAATGAAGGAGAGTGTGTTCATATGTAGTCACTATTTACTCTATTTGGCATTTGGCATGTGAATTAGGTCCGACTTAATACACTTTGGCCAACTCATAATAGATTTCAAGTGAATTTGAATAAAATAAAATAAATATTTAAAATTGAAGAAAAAAGATGTAACGAGAGAACAAGTTAAAAAGATGAGAGAAAGGTAGACAAATAAAACTAAGACGATTATTTTCTCATTATTTGCTATCTAACAAACAATTTAACAATTGTAAAAAAAAATTATAAAAAAACAAAACAAAACAATTTAATTTGTTTTAAGAGCAACTTTAGTGCATGATTGTTAAACTAAAATTTTGTATAGCTTAATAATAAAAAATTTGCTTTATAATAGAGCTGACATGACATTTAAATAAATTAAAATTTAGTTTCTAACATTAACTATGTGAAATATATTATAATATTATTTATTTAATTAATAAAATATTTCAACAGTATTAAAGTAATGACATGATATTTGAAAATAGTGGGGTCAAATTTTGGTTTTTTATAGACAACCATCGTTAAAGTAAAAACTACTCAAATCAACTATAAATTTTTTAAATCCTACAAAGCACTTTAGACCCACAAAAAAATTTTAGTTTACCCATTTAGTTTATTCCCATTAAAGATGCTCTAGGACAGAATACCAAATTTTTTTTTTAAAAAAAACTAATTTTTTTTCAAACAAAAAATATAATTAACTCGATTAACCTCAATTTATTAACATTAGTAATTTTTAGCGTTGAAAAGTGTGCCATAAAATCTAATTCAATCCTAAAATAACACTTTGTTGATCACCGTATTTAAGTGGAATTGTAGGATTGGGAATGTGATTTGGTCAGCTTAGATTAAATAAAAACAAGACAAAATAAATATAAGTTTGATTTTGAGACACTTCCATCAACCATTTAAAATCACCAATGCTAAACCAAACATGACACACTCAACATTCCACTGATGAAGTTTGAATACTTGAAAAATCTTCAAAATCAGTTGCTCCTTATTTAAAATGGTAGAAGTTGCTAGTAACTTAAAAACAAATTCAATAGCATATTTGATGTATAAGACATGAGTATTGAACTATGTTTACATCCTTTCCAATTGGTTAGAGTCACCTATGAAACAAGACAACATTCTCTGTAGTAATGCCAGTGAATTAATCTAAAGAATGATATAGGATAAGTTAAGATGATGTCTAAATATATGATGAAACATATCCATTCTTTTGCATGTTAGTCTTTTGATATGCTTTACTTCACTTCCAAAAGCTTAGTATTGGAGATGTTAGTTCCCTAGACTTGTTTGAGCTATGCATCTTGTGGAGGAATCCAATCCAGTTTTGAAGAGAGCTTCATGAGAAGTGAATTCACTTGGAATCAACTGATCAGACTGCATGCATCTGCAGTTTCAGTTACCTCCATGCAAAAAACCTCTGAAATACTCGGACAGAAATAAACCTTTTACAAATTGCAGATTTAACGAAAAGCAATATAATGAAGGACTTTGATATGTCCTTTTATGAAAATAACAGGATCAATGCCTATAAAAATTTTAAGTAGGAGACTTAATTTTATCAGTCTACAACTCATATCCGACAAAGATAATTTCCGCCAAGTATAAAGGCAGTAAAAAATCTACAAACTAGTGTTGTATGTCACAGATTCCAGGAAAATAGCCAAAGCCACATGGTGGTTGAAATAAATCAATGATATATAAAAACACATGTTGCAGACAAATAAAAAAGGGAATGAAGGCGGAGTATAGCTCATGTATTGAAAGGTTTGCATATTCCGATGAAAATAGGAGCAACACTCAAGGATTCATTTCTATTATAAAAATAAGTCATTGTTTGGCACATATGTAGATTCTTCAGTTTTCTTATTTTTAAAAACCCTAAAATTCTCTTTACGCTATTGCCACTACCTCAGCTAGCAGAAAATGGAATGGCGACCACTATTGCCCTAATAGTGAAACTAGGATGGCATTGTGGTTTTCATAGCATATTAATCAAATTTTGCAATGCTATCGGGAAAATGTGTGGAGATCTTACATGTGAGGAATTCGTAATGAGTTAATGAAAAGCAGAAAGAATTCAACAAAAAGAACATATTTTTTCTTTATTATTATCATCTGCCTACAGCCAGCTGAATCTATGCAACAAACATAACTCCCGTGTAAAATCTAATAAAGCAAGACTCAGAAATTTGGTCAGTTAAAAAGATGTAATTTGAGAATATTGATGTAATTGTACCTATATTTCCAGAAAATGATGCCTTAACCCTTCACCAGGTGCGCTTCAGCCACTGAGGAACTCAGGTCTTCTCGAGACTGTGATCTTCTACTCTGCAGACGCATCTGACTTCTATTGGGAGGCCAGAAGGCACCCATATTACTACCGCTGCTGTCAAACTGCATCTGTCCTAAACTATTTGAAGAATAACTATGTGAGACGCCACTAGATGATGGGTACAAAGAAGACCCAACAAGCTGGATGCCACCATTGTTATAACCGAAACCACGCCCCAGGCCAAATGGGCTTCCACTTGAACTTGCAACTGTTGGGCTGAGCGGCATCTTTATTCTTTCATCCACTGCAGCAGCATCGGTGTAAAATGGCATCAAAAGTCAGTTCTAAAAGGATTATCACATATTTTGTACACAGAATGCATAGTTTATGCCAAAGCAACAACTTGGTTGAATTCACACACACAAAAAAAAATCAGAAATCAGTGTTTGTTGTAAATAGCTTACCCGATCTCATTGGACTCCATCGTTGAAACCTAAAAGGAGATGGAATATTAAGAACAGAAGCACCGGAAACAGTGTCATGCCTGAACATCGGAAGATATTGCCTCCGGAAAAACCTTGGCATCCAATTCGAATTGCCAACTAATGATAAAGCGCAAAGAAGGACAATAAAAGAAAACAATAGAATGGCAACAAGAACAAGGGGATTTATTTTCATCTGGAACAATTCAAAGTTACGAAGGCCGAATCCAGTGGAATATGCCCTCCCAGCTTCTAACAAGGCAACCCCAAGTGTCCAAGTGATGCTGCCAGATCCAACAGAAATTTGGTTATCATTAATGCGCAAACCTTCTCTTAGCAGTGAAGTAATGTATGGTGCCCTGAAGCAGTACTGCTCAATAAAGGGCTGAGGCACAACACTTTCCTTGGCAACATCCCATCTTTTCTCACAAAATTCTTCACTCTTTTTCAACACATCATCAAGTGTGGCATCAGAAGTCAAGTTGAAAAACCGATATACAACATAAAATCCAGAAATCACATAAAAGTGGCCATACGGACGAGGGAGATTATCTCGCAAAGCACAAGGCGTCACTCCGCAATCAAGTCCTGGACTGAGATTGGACCATTCAGACAAATTGACGACAACTTTCGCAAGTGCACTGCATTGTTGCCAATTAGGAGCACCAACAAGCACTAACGGAGTTCCCGACCTTCCTTGCTTACTCAAGTGTTTCTCATCACCAATACTTCCAATTTTGTCACAACGAGAGCACACGTACTGATCCTTGTATCCAGACTGCAAACAAGGATGCTTGAGCTCTATATCTCTACCAGCCTTTTCTGCATTGGCTAATGATCCAAACTCTTTCTTAAACAAATGCACCACAGACTTCCCAAACGCCTCATTGAGACCATAACCCTCAAGAGAATAGGCAGTAAGATGATGATTCACCGATCCAATCCTAACATACAAACTAGTTTCACTATTAATTTGTTGATCACTCTCAAAAGTAACCTGCAAAGACGATCCCCCCAAGTCAAGTGCACCATAAGTCGCCTTCCTAGGATTAACACCCAAAATACCACTATGATAATTAAGCGAAATCCACCCAAAATAAGCTTCCTCGGTACCAGAAATAATCTTAATCCAATCCTTCTTACACATAAAGGGAGAGTCCTTGATCACAGACCAAGCATGATCTAACAACCACTTAGACTCCTTCCTAGGAAGTTTCCTTACACCAGCAGTAGCATAAAGGAACACAGAAGTACTCTTATGAGCATGAACCGGTATCTGCTTCTTCGCCCACCTAACTAATGGTTTCAAAGCACTTCTCAAACCCGACACATTATAAACCAACTTATCAATCCCAGGTTCAGTTTCCATTCGATCGTAAGCGCGACCAGTAGGCTTCTTCTTATGCAAGCCATCTCTCAATGACTTAATTACTATAGGAAGACTACTATGTCTCTTATATTGAATGTTAGCATTATACACATAAACACGAGTTCCGGTACTTCCACAATCAAGCACAACATAGTATTTACCAGACCCAATATTCCAAAAAGAGAAAGCAAACATAAAAAGCAAGTATGTGAGCAAAAGAAACAGTGTGAGTAAAACTACAAGCCTGATTGCTTTGATGCATTTCTTCCGAGAAGTGGTTGGTATGGTTGTTGTTACTGATTCAAGGGGCTGCTTCAAATGGGAATAAGAAGAGAAATCCTGAAGAGAGGAAGAGATTCTGAGATTGTAGTTTGGGGGAGTAGAAGAAAGTGAGGATTGTGAGTAGAAGGAAGCGATTTTAGCAAAGATCATGTCTTTTGGTGATATAGAGAAAACCCAGATGAAATTTGAGTGATGGGGTTTAGGTTAAGTGGTTGAAGAAAGCATGGCATTTCGTGTGATTAATCAAGTTGAAAAAAACACAGTGATGTTGAATTGGAATTCAATAGAAGAATGAGATTCTAAGGAACAAGATGATGGGGACATTACTATGTTTGGAATTGGAATTTTGAAGAGAAAAATTGTGGGGAACTGGAAGAGGGATTGGAGAACATTCGTTTGTGAAGGTCGTCGGTTAGGTCGAAGGCAAAATCACTTCAGACAAAAACCGAACAAGACGAACATTTTGACGACACTTTCTTTTATCTTGAAAAGCAAAAAAAAAGTTAATTTAATTTTTAAATTTTCTTCCATGGTTATAAACTTATAATAAGTATATTAATTAAATTCTGGTAAAATATATATAATGAAGGTGGTTGAAATCAAAATAAGTGGTAAGTTAAGAAAATTTATCATATCCAAGAAAATGTTCCATCCTTGAGCCCTATTATGTTCTACAAAATAAAAATAATGAGAGGTGGCTGAAAATTTATTATGTTCTACAAAATAAAAATAATGAGAGATGGCTGAAAAAATAGTATTTGTTTAAATAAATTCCAACTTGCTATTTTAATATATTTTCCACAATTTTAAGATTTATTAAATAAATATTATAGATATCAAAAAAATCTAAATAAAAAACATTCTCTTTCCATTCTTTAAAGATTAAAGATTATTATTATATATATATATATATATATATATATATATATATATATATATATATATATATATATATATATATATATATATATATATATATATATATATATATATATATATATATATATATATATATATATATATATATATATATTTTGTAATTTGATATTTTATCGAAATAGTTAGTCAAGGTGTAAGAATCAGTTATATTCGACCGAGTTGAATTTAACAAATAGTTGTTATGTCGAAATGTAACTTGTAGTTTTGCACTTTATATTGTGTATGTTTTGAATTTGGATCGATTTATATAGTTTTGGATTTGGATCGATTTATATAGTTTTGGGTCTAGGTTTTAGTTGCCTATATAAAGGGCATAGTATGATGCAGAATAATAACTTCACTTAATATAAAATTTAATTTCTACCATTCAATTTCTCTCTCTTTTCTCTTCTTCCTAGTCTCCCATTTTTCTTGAAAACCCTTTTGTTCCAACAAATCGGTATCAAGGAGTCTGGGTTACGATTCAGGTAGAATCTATAATGACAAACGAAAACACAACATCAACGTAATTTCCAACGAATCTACCAGTTTTTAAAGGGGAGAACTACGAACGTTGGGTTGCACAGATAATGGTCATCTTCATATTTTAATATATGGTTGAAATCGTTCACTATAGATTACCTGCATTGGAATAGAATGTGAATGATGTTTAGCAAGCTGCACACAAGGAAGAAAGAAAGGAATATAGAAAAGAATGTTATTGATTCACTAGTGTGTGGATTTTAATGTGTTTGAGAAGATAATTGAAGAAGAAACGACAAAAGACCGTGGGACAAGTTAAAGAACTTGTACGACGGAGATGAAAAATTGAAAAGGGTGAAGTTGCAGATGTTGAAAAAGTAATTTGAGATGACTCAGATGAAGGGAGATGAATTAGTCTTGGAATATTTTTCACGTGTGGAGTTGTTAACGAACTAGATGAAGTCATTGGTGAATCAATCAATGATTTGCAAATGATTGAGAATGTGTTGAGATCTCTGACTACAAATTTTGATTACATTATAGTGTCAATTGAATAGTCAAAGAATCTAACTGAGATGAAGTTAGGAGAACTTCTAGCTTCATTAGAGGCTCATGAGATGAGGCAGAAGTAGAGGAATTCCTAAAGGGAGAAGGTGGATGAACAAGCACTACAAGAATGATTCATCAAGAAATCTGTGAAAGAGAAAGTGAATCAGGGAAAGAATCTTGCTAATGATGAGAAGTCAAGGAAGAACTTAAAGAAGTCAAGTTAGATGAGAAAGTTTGCAGATGGCAGGAAAATCACATCAGGTGGAAAAGGAGATATCTTTGTTGTCAAGAAGATAGTCGAATATCCAACATCACTAATGTGTTGTGTGTACCTTCGATGACAAGTAACTTGATAAGCGTAGGATAATTAGTTACAAAAGGGTACAACACGAAGCTAGAAAAGAATCAGATGAAGGTGCATAAAGGTGATGGAAGGTTGATCTAGAAGGCACCATTAGCAGACAACGGGACCTTCAAAGTAAAGATCAACCCAATTGATCACAAATGGCTTGCTTCAACTGTAGAAGAAGACAAGAATTGTTATGGCATCACAAGTATGGACATCTAAACTTCATATGTTTAGGTATGCTTAACCAGAAGAAGATGGTGTATTGCCTACCTTAGGTAAGAGGACTAAATCAGGTATGTGAGTAATGTTGCAAAGTAAAGCAGGCTAGGAGAGCATTTAAACACGACTTGCCCATGAGGTCGAAAGAAAAGTTGGATCTAATTCACTCTGCTACGTGTGGACCATTTGAAGCAAAGTAGAATGGAGATAACTACTATTTTTTAATCTTCATAGATGAATTCATCATATATAAGGAAGAAACTAGATGATCGAAGTCAGGCCATGGTGCTCATAGGTTATCATTCAATTGGTGCATACAAGTCGTATTCACCAAATGTTGATAAACTTGTGATCAATCGAGATGTTCTAGTGGGTGAAAGTAAAGGGTGGGATTCGAGTCATGGGTTAGTTCAACAAGAACCATATATAGTTACAACTGTGTTTGAAGAAGACCAACAAACTAAAGCCCCAACCAATTAAAATGAAGGACACCTGAGCAAAATGTTAGGAGATCGACTAGATCAAGAACTAAGTCGACAAGGCTATCTGGATATGAGAGATTTCCAAATCAAGTAGTTGATGCAGATGGTGACATAATAGAAGAAGCAATGATGATGGTTGAAGCAGAACCAGTCAATTTGGATCAAGCCATGAATTATTCGAATTGGTTAGCAGCCACAAAATAAGAACTTAGGGAGATCGAGAAGAAACCTGAGAACTTGTCAAAGAGTCAATCAAAAAGCAAATTGATGTGAAGTGGGTTTACAAACTAAAATGAAGAGCAAACGGTGAAATTGCCAAGAATAAGGCAAGGCTAGTGGCAAGAGGTTTTATGCAAAAACTTGGTATTGATTTCGATGAAGTGTTTGCACCTGTGGCAAGACTGGAAACCATCAGAATTGTTGTGTCCACAGAAGCATATAGAGGGTGGAAGATAAATCAGTTGGTATCATACCCCAATTTTGTCCTACCATTTATCTATTCTCTATTAGACGAGGGCAACGATCTAGGGGGGATGAATAGATAGCAAATAAAATTTTCTTTGATTAAAAATCTGTTTTTAAAAATATTTTATATGGCATGCGAAAGCGGTAGAAAATATTTTCTAGTGTGTGTGCATGCGTGCGTGTGTACTTGTGTGCATGCATGCACGTTCGTGCGTGCGTCTGCATGCGTGTGTGTGTGTGTGTGTGTATGTATGCGTCTGTGTAAGAAAAAATCATAAAACATAATTAGAAAATGTACAAGTTTAGAGTTTTGAAGTAGCATGCTTCGACCTCAAAGGTGAATGTATCGACCCATAAAAGCATTTTTGCTTCTATGCGTCGAGCTTAAGGTGTTATATGTCGACTAGAGAAGCTTGTGCGTCGACACATACTGGATAACAACTTTGATTTTGTAAAATCTTCAGTATGTGTCGACCTCTAGCTTAGATGTGTTGAGTTATAGACTAGTTTTTCATATAAAACTTGATTTTAACTTGTAAAAAACATTTCTAACTTGATTTTAAGTATCCTAAGATGAAAATGCACATCTAGACACAAAGGATAAGTTCCAATAGACACCAATACTAAATGTCCTAGTTTTGACATCATTCAAAACATTTTTAAAAGGAAAGTGCACTCACATACTCTCTATTTTTTATGATGGCAAAACGTACAAAGTATTTGATGTCTTGCTAATAGCTCCCCCTAAATACGTTCCCCCTTAGAGACTTCGTTCTTGTAGGAATTTTTCCTCGTTTGACAACATCAAAAAGAGACAAAGCCACAAACGTGAGAAGCATCATGTAAAACTTACAAAAACATATATGACATTGTTTCTCTTGAAAATCGGAAAACAACCGCTGATCTTCCAAATCTAACTTTGGTGACTCACAGGATCGATCATATTGATCCTAGGACATGTGCTAAAAGGTTTCGTTTTGTAGAATCTGCCTAAGTTACACACTTCGACACTATTGGGTGAAAAGTCTTAAGGGTAGAATTGTTTATTAGACTGAAGAGAGGAAAGAGATAGAAATTTAGATAGAAAGAAATAGAAATCTTTGGGGGAAGGAAAAATGTTAAAGGTTGAAGGCTAAAGGTTAAGATAGTAATCAGGTAACGTCTCGGTCGAAGCATGGCCCTTTAACATTTCGTGATTGCTTTCCCAAAGCCTTCCACATGTTTTGACACTTCTTCTTCGTAGACCTTGGACTTCTTTGATCAGCTTTTATCTCCAGTGAGATTCTGATGCCACTTTATTAAATATCTTAACTTGCAAGAGGTGTCGAATTTAGGAGCTAATAGACACTCAGAGGCGTTAAATAGATAAAATGTACAATAATATCGTGCACTAACATTTCATTAGAATAACATTAAAGTTAAAATTGCCTATAAATAAACACGCAATTCAGACAAAATGATATGGAGTTCATCACGAATACATCATAACAATGTCAAAAGAGAAAAGTATAATGACAAAACATAATAACATGAAAACAATTTCCAAAAACTTTGTCCACAATCAAATTTTCTAAAGTCAACGACCCCTATTTTCCTCACTTCTACCCCTAGTTTCTGGTCTCCTACCCCGATACCATATACAAAAATTTCTACAACCTAAAAATCCATATATAAAATATTTGAAAATTTTGAGCTATGTATCGACCTATACGAGGTAGGCATCGAAACATACTGAACATAACTATAAAAAATCAAAAAATTGAGGCTATGTGTCAACCCGAAGCACCTATGTGTCGATGCATATTGTACATAGTGACATTTTTTTAGAAATTTGAAGACTTTAGGTTGACCTCTAAAGTAATGAGATGAGGCATATGTTGTGGAATTGGAAAAATTCATGCAAAACGTTATTTTTCATGCAAGAGTAGATAAATAACATGCTCAAACACCAATGGCTTCAAAATTACTTCTAATGTTAAGATCTAATAGAATGAAACACATATGATAATGACATAATAACATGAAATCACTATAAATATATAGATTGAAAACACATGGTTTAACAATGAAATTTTTGAAAGTGAGCATACATGAAATGTATCATTCATCAAATATATCACTCATTTTTGGAATATAAACACGCAATCAAAAAAACTTACGAACAAAGAGATAAGTGAAACGATACTACCGCATAGGATGAGAGATAGAGGATGCACTCACATGAAACTAAACTTTATAACGAAAGTTGAATCAAACCTGAAGAGTGCATGCAACAAAATATTTAGGAAATATTTGAGATATCGAGAATGCCCAATTCCCATCGAATATTGAAAAATGGCTCAGTCACAAGAGGTTTTATGAAAATGTCTGCAAGTTGATTTTTTCTATCAACATGTTCAAAAACGACATCACCTTTTTCAATATGGTCGCGTAGGAAATGGTGACGTATCTCAATGTGTTTAGTACGAAAGTGTAACACCGAATTTTTTGTTAGGTTAATCGAACTAATATTGCCGCACATTATCAGAATACATTGAAGTTTGATGTCAAAGTCAAGTAGTTGTTGTTTGAGCCATAAAGTTTAAGCACAACAACTATCGGTTGTGACATATTCAACCTCGGCAGTTGACAAAGCAACAATGATTTGCTTCTTACTATGCCAACTAACTAAGGAGTTTGAAAACAGGTGGAAAGTTTCACTAGTACTTTTTCTATCCGATTTGCAATCGGAAAAATCAGAATCGGAATAACCAACCAAACTACAATCATTACCTTTGGAAAACCAAAGTCATACTTAGATGTACCACGAAGGTATCAAAGAATGTGCTTTACATATTTTAAATGTGATTCCTTAGAAGCAGATTGATATTGAGCGCACATGCACACACTAAATATAATACCAGCCATAGATGCGGTAAAATATAAAAAGAGATCTTATTATACCTCTATACCTTTTGACGTCATCCTTACCACTTTCATCTCTGTCTAAGTTCCTGTTATTGGGAATTGGGGTGTCGATTGACTTTGCATCTGCCATTCCAAAGCGTTTAAGCAACTTTTGACATTATTTTGTTTGACACACAAACGTCCCTTCTTTGAGCTGGTTGATTTGAAGTCTGAGAAAGTAAGTCAACTCTCCAATTAGACTCATTTCAAATTTGCCCTGCATTAGTTTTGAGAACTCTTTAACCAATTGCATGTTAGTATAACCAAATATAATATCATCAACGTAAATTTGAATGAGAAGAATATATTTTTCTTGACGTTTGATAAAGAGTACCTTCCCTCGAGAGTCTCCTTGATCATGTAGAAACTTCCTTAGTCATTCATACCAATCCCTAGAGGCTTGTTTGAGATCATGTAAAACTTGTTTTAATTTTAAAACGTGGTTAGGATACTCATGATTTTCAAAATCGGGAGATTCTGAGACATACATTTCTTCATTTATATAACCATTAAGAAAAGCATTTTTTACGTCCATATGAAATAATTTGAAATATTTATAGCATGCAAAATCTAGTAAAAGGTGTATAGCCTCGAGGTAGGCAACCAGAGCATAAGTTTTCTCATAATTTATGCCCTCCTCTTGGTTATATCCTTGAGCCACTAGTTGGGTCTTGTTCCTTGTTATCACTCCGTTTTCGTCCAATCTATTTCTTAAAATCCACTTAGTTCCTATAACTTGATGATCTCGCGGGGGTGGGACAATGTCTGACTTAGTCCGTTACCCATTAGGGCTAGCCCGTATGGACCATGGGTAGCCTGTTAGACCTGCATGACTATAAATTTTTAAAAAAATATATTAATACTATATTTTCTTACTTCAAAATAACATATTGATTTTTCTCACCTTACTAAATTTTATCTTTATTCTATTCAATCTTTCTTTTTTAAATTTTATATATTAATATAATGAACACTATTTCCTCGTATTCTATTTGTTTCTCTTATGTTAAATATTCAAGTATCATTCTATACAATTTAGAGATGTGTTTTATTTAAAAATAAATTATAGTATTTATAAAAGATAATATAGTACTTAAAAGAGTATTATGTTTAAAATAATATAATTTTTAATTGTATTTAAAATAAATATTACGGGGTTTTATTTTAATTTTTTATTAAACAAAAGCCCGTTTAGGATCAGGCAGTCCAAAGCCCATCTAGGATTAGACTCGGGTAGTAATTTTCGAGCCCATATTACAACAGGGTTTTTTTGCCCCAACCCTACAAAGTCCGAGGTCCGCCAGCGCCGACCCGTTCAGGGTCGAGTAGCCCATTTTGATAGCTCTATCCGAACGCACCAAAATGTCAGTTAAGTTAAAATATTTCAGAGATGCATCTCTAGGATAGTTTGGAGGTTAAATCGCATCAAATCTTTTTCCTTTCTCATTTCTCATTTTACTCAAACTCAACTTCAAACACTCAAACTTTTTCTTTACACCAACTAAAAACTCAATCAATAAAGCTTAACGGAACTACAATCATCATCCCTAACATCTGAAACATTATGACAGAGGCACAAGGGGCATTGTTGTACCTGAGACAACACTGGAGGACAGGAGGGATTGATGATCGAGGAGGTAGATGAGAGGTATTCAGACATACACAGTAGTGTCTTAGTATATACTAGTAGTACTATGGTCTGTATTTTATTTTGACATCATGCTACTGTTATGATCTCGATTGTATGACATTTTTGACATTTATTGGTATTTTATTTATATAGAACATTTTGTGACCATCTAGAATTATGTACGTCTATTTTTTATTTTCGATTGTATGGTATGATTTTAATCTGAATGCTGATAAAAAAAAAATGTAATATGAAAGACCAAATTCTGATACGTTACAAAGATGTATCTCCGAAATATTTACGGAGATGCATCTCCAGTCCAATTCAAGTGTATAATGGCTCTGACTGTGTTGTATTGTATGTTTTAAATTATTATGAAGATGCATCTTCGAAATATTTCAACGTTCATTCAAAATTTAGTGCGTCTGAAAATGCATCTCTAAAAATTAGAGATATTTAAATAATTTTACGCGATGACTAAGAAACATAAATGATGCGTTAAGAAAATCATGGGCAATTTTCCTAAACAAAACAATGATTACCAATGATGCCAAAAGAGTGAGTTAAGAAATCATTGTTATAATTTACTCTCTTATAAAAAGGATCGGAGGGTGGAAGTATAAATGAACAAAGAAATTTTTGTGTGAGAAAATCATGGGCAGTTTACCAAAACAAATCAGTGATTATCAATGCTGCCAAAATGTAGAATTTAATCGATTTTTTAAACTTCATTACAATTTCATATTAACCCTTCAAACATAGTGCAATAACAAATACATAAATCAAAATATTTTTTAATTTTACAACAAAACCCTTATTATAAATTACAACATTTGAAGTTTTTTCTAAATCAGTTCATGGACCGCTCAGATTTATATCTAATTTATCAATTAATGTAACAGCAATAACAAATTGAAGAACCATTACAAAACTTTTTTCACAAGGCATTGATATTTTTGTAATTCATTTCCTTAATCAGATAGCTTTGGAGATAAACTAGAGGGTGCAGAAAAAATTTGACAAATAAGTGGTTCAGTTTCCCCAAGACCTTGAGGAGTAACTCCAACTGCTGCTCGTCTTTCTCTATATGATCCCCAAGTAACTGTATATAGACCAGCAATGATAAGCGATCCACCTATGATGCTGTCGATTGTCACATGAATAAAAATAGTGTTAGGTTTGTAACCGTTTATTCAATTGATAACGGGAAGAAAAAGGAGGTATAGATGCTCTACCTTCCTAAGTAAACTGGACTTCCGAGAAATATTTGAGACAGTAAGGCAGAAAAGCCAGGTTGAAGTGGATTGTATAGGGCAACCATAGCTGGACCTAAAACCTTATTGCACCATGTAATGAGTCCATAGTTAAGAGCAGATGCAATAGTTCCCTGAACAATAAAATGGAAGTGTTTGTTGAAATCTACACGTTAAAATCTATCAAAATATTTGCAAGAACACAAGACACTCTTCAATCATTTCCCTCCATTTAACAATCTTGAATTACAAGAAATATCACATTGGTAAATCATAACAGATAGGTTTGGTAACTCACAGCATAAATAACAGCAAGTATTTCAGACGATGTCAGACTCCATTCAGTTGACTTGTTAGTCACTAAAAATGACACCATCACCATCAGAGCAGCTCCAAAGAAGTATGAATATGCCGTGACAGATAGGTTTGAAGGATACTTTTTTAATACCGGTGCCTGAAAATAACTAAAGGTGATAAAAATGCACCATTACACATATAGAAGACCACTAAAGTTTTCGCTTAATGTGTAACTAATAGCCATCTAATTTAATAGATATCATAAAAAGATGCATACCTGAATGGCTAGAAAAGCAGCCATACACATGCAGTTCCCTATCAAGCACAGAACCCCAAGATGAAAATGGTCTAATCCAAGACCTTGTAAGCCACCAATAAACCATCCAGAAGGCTCAGGCTGACCTCTCGCACTAATTTCATTTTCTGCTACATGAGCAATTTCTGTATTTCCAATTAGAGCTGGACCGCGATACAAAGCCATCAATATGGCACCTGAAACACAGATAATAGTTCCTACAACCTTTGCCAGACCTTCATATCTGAGCAAGTTCACTCTTTCTGTACTGCATTGAAAAGTTTATTACAGTATGCATTACACTATGTTCTACTTTATTCGTATAAGTTTAGTAATAATTAAGATTGTGCAATTTGTGTCCATGATTTATGATATACAACACGGCGCAAAACTGACCCCATCATTACAGCGAACAAAAATGTAAAGACTGGAATGGCCGGCTGAGTGGCAGCAGCATAAGTTGGATTTGTATAGCTTAAACCAATAAGAAACAGAAGTTGGTTGCCGAATATCCTGTTCATGAATCACAAAGCAAAAAATACCACATTCATCAATAAAAGATTCTATTATTTATAAATGATAGAAATAGGGAGTAAGCGACTAGTATCGAAAACCTCACCCAGTTAATCCAAGGAAAAAGAATGATATCAGGAGGTCCTTAGTAATGGGTGGTCGTGTCCGTCTTCATCCAACACGGTTTGATCAAAAAAGTCGTACAACATTAGGAAAGCGAAGAATACAAATAACACTCAGAGAGGCGAAAATGGTTGCATTGCAAGCTAGCTTTTTTATGTAAAATTTGAATATGTAGATTGGAGCATAGTTAAATGTACTGAGGGGTCTTGACCTATGCTGCTAACAATTTATTTTATCTTTTTTATCAATCTTGTCAAAAGAAATTGATCAACCAATCACCATTATATGTGATACATCGGACACCAACACTGATACGAAACTGATACGAAACTGACACTTGTGATTACATTCAATTTATTATTTTTTCAAATAATTATCTGTGTCGACATGTCTGTGCCAGTGTCCTGATATATTCTCTCCTAATCATTCTATCTATTGTTTAAGGTTAAGCACAGGTCTTAAGAAATCATCAATTACACCTATTTCTAATGCAATGGCACATTTTTATAAAATGGTTTTGAAAAGGAAAGGAAAGGAAAAAAGGAGCATACTTTTCACGAATATAAGCGATAGGAGCGAGGATAGAGAGGGCAAGTAGATCTCTGTAGAGGCAAAAGACTAACTGGTTAACCCCAACATTAAGGGCTACTTTGGTAATTACATGGTAGCCACCATTGAATAGTTGCACCAATGCCATACCCAAATGCGCCTTCCATGCGTCACTCCCCGTTGATCCTGAAACTGCTGTTGCCATTGAAATCAATCAAGTTTCTTGCTTGATTCCTGAAACTCTCCGAAACAAGAAGAAAATTTGTGTCACGTGTTAGAGAAATGGAGAAGAATCGGAAATTGGGTTGTTGGGATGGTGAAGAACACCAACCTGATGGTTCTCTTTCTTGCTTTAACTCAAAGAAAAGTGATCGGTGATTGATTTTGATGGATTTGGTGGATTCATAAGATCTGAATGGTCGATGTCAACCTTCCATTACTACATGATTTCACCTGCGATTTTCTTCATTTCTCTTACAAAATCTATGTCCGTCTCACCCATTTGGGTTCTTTAAATAGATTTTTTTTTTTTTTAATTTTTTATATTATACTATTACATATTAAATTATTTACACAACTCTATTATATTTTTTAAATATTCATATAATTTTCAAAAGTTTTAAAATGGAACCAATAAATTCTTTAATATACTCCACTTTAATATTCATTGCCACTTAAATAAATATATAAATATCTAATTGACAAGTGGAGAATCGTCCACTTATTAAAGATATTGATTTGATATTTTTAATAAAATAATATATATAATTATGATATAATTGAAACATTGTTACATTGTTTTAAAATATGATCATTGGAGACATTGTTACATTATTTTAAAAATTGGATTGAAATGGTCGATCGAATCGAGAATTGATGGGGTCACTTGGAGCTGGCCTAACACTACATGAGGCTTAATACGACCTTCAAATTGAAGTCTTTTATATTCTAATAAACAATTAAATTAAATTATTATAATATTTTTAAAATTTTACTTTTCAAATTTTTTGAGATGAAAAATCATTTATTAAACTATTATAATCAATTTCAGTTAACATTTCTTTTTCAATCAATAATAAAAATAATTCATTTAGTCTTTGTTGAGACATTGTTGATCTTAGTTAAAATTTTATTAATTTTAATTTTGAAAAACTTCTTTTTACTGAAGCAACATTTACGGGAATCGTTAACATTATTCTATAAGTAACAAATGCATTTCAAAAGGAGTTCAGTCTTATTATATTATTATGTATATCAATTGGTGTATTATTTTCGACATGTATGATTTCTTTTAATATTTTTAATTCTAAAAATAAGTCTAATCCATCAATATCAGAGTTATTGTTATGTTTTATCGAACATTTGAGGTTAAGATAATATTCTTTTAAATTTTTAATTTCCAATGACCTTAATTTCTCAACACTAAATAGAAAATAAAAAATATCTTGATATATTTTAATTTGTTTAAATCTATTTCGAAATGATGTAATTACATGATATAATATATACAAAAAATAGTCAAATTTAAATGATTCTTTGGGAGTTTTTAAAACTTCATTATCAATAATCTCATCAAATTGTTAAGCTTGAATGAAGAGGATGCGAAAAGTTTGAGTTTTGATGAAGTTGTTGGTGATATAAAGGTTTTTTTTTTTTGTGATGAGATAAAAGGTCTTTGAAGGTGGAAGAAAGTTATGTGTTTTTGAGATGATGAGCCATTCTAAATTTTTGAGTTTGTGAAGTTGTTGTTAGCAATTCTAAATTTCAAATGAGTAATATGAAAGAAGTTTTCTTTATGTAATGGAAAGAAGAGATAAGAGGGAATCTGATATAGTCTAGTGGCAAGGAGCAAGGAGATACGTATAGAAATAAGAGGACAAAGAGACACGTCTAGTATTCTAACAGAATAGAGATGTCACATGAAAAGGAATGACAGAGATGACTATATTAGGAGACTGATACCATGTTGAAATAGCAAATATATACATAATATCACTTTATTATCATTATTAAAATTAATGAATACCTTGAATTTTGATTGCACTTTAATATATCATAAAATATATCAATCATTGTATATACAATTTATATTTTATTCTTTCTTAAAAAAAAGATTTTTTTTTTTATAATATTTGCATGATATCAAATTTTAAACTTATGATAATATATTAGTATTAATTGTACCACTTATATTATAGTCATTATTATAATAAATTAAAATAATTTTTTGAATATTTGATGAAAGCACAAAATATTAAATTATTTAAACAACTCAAATATTTTTCAAATACTCATATAAGTCTCAAAAATTCTAAAATGAGTCCCAACAAATTCTCCAATATCCTCCACTTTCATATCCATTGTCACATATATAAATATATAAATCTCCAACGGACAAGTGTAGAATTACTCATTAGAGAACACACTAGTAGAAAAGAATGATGTTTTTATGGATTATCCAAAATTTATGACTAGTTACTTTAAAAATAGTGTAGAAACATTACAAACTTGAGCGATATTTGTGCTCTTAATTTTTTTTTTGTAAAAGAAAAAAACAATTCGAAAGATGATTGTTGTTAACTATACTATAATACTATGATTGGTATATACATGTATATAGTTTTAAATTTGTATAATATGATCCTTGTGATTATATTTCTATTTAGTTTTTGTTTTTATATTATGTTTATTATGCTCTGTACCCAAAATCGATGAATTACTTATGAGAGTTATGATTTGATCATTTTAGTTCTTTAAAGATCTATAATATAAGTAAAGTAATTGATCAAACACAACTTTGTCCTTTGATATTGTTCTTTCTAATCATTCTATCTTGATTTCTTTTCACTCATTTTTTCATTTTTTTCTGCCATATCTTCAACTCTGCCATCACTAACATCAGTTTATAAGAAGAATAACTTATACAATTACTCTTTTATATCTTAAATTTTTATTGTGATTAATAATTTATTATTCTTTTATAAAAAAAAATAAAATTTATATAATTTTTTTTTGAATTTGAAAGATCAGCAAATCTGAGTTTGTTGTTTGGAAATATGATTGGATGAAGAAGGTTGTGAATAAAGATTGAAGGAATTTTGTTGGTATATGAGAATGTGAGAATGAATAACAATCATTATATTTAAAAGAAAAATGTTGAGATTAAATTATATTTTTCACTTAATTATGTGCCAAAAATTCAAAAAATCGGGCACCTTAAAATAAATTAACAATTTTAAAAATATATTTTAATTCAATGATGAGAAAAATAAAAAATTATATTTAAAATAAATTATCAATAATATATATTTTTGTGGTTAATAAAATAATAAAATAGACTAATAATATAATTTTATATTATATTACACACCATTCTTTATATATTTTTAAAAATATTTTTATTATAAATTATAGATTTTATTTATAAAATGAGATAACACAGTATAAAAAGTTTCAATCAATTCATCAGTATCATCCGTTTGCATTATTTTTTGAACGTTTAAATTAAAAGTCAAATTGTTTATAGCATCCAATATTTCTGATTAAAAAGTTTTACGTGGTCAATTCATCACTATCATCCGTTTGTATTACTTTATGAACCTTTTAAAATAAAAGTCAAACTCTTTCTAACATCTAATGTCTCTGATTGACTGTTTGTGTAAGATATTTTTACAGTGACCGTGTATTTCAATTAAATTCTTATAAAAAGAGATTAATTACTATGTATTGTCAATATAAAAAGTTTTATATGATCAATTCACTATTGTAATTCGTTTGCATTACTTTATGGACGATTAAAATAAAAGTCAAACTCTTTTTAATATCTAACATCTTTAATTAAGTGTTTGTGTAAAATATTTTTACACTAACAATATATTTCAATAAATTTTTTATAAAAAGATATTAATTACTATATACTGTCGGTCAAAATTTTAAAAAATTTACATTTACGGTGAGTATTGATTGATGAAGGGGTGAGAAAGTGGGTGGTCCGTCCCGTTTAGACCCACCTCATTTAAGTCTGTCTAAATGCAGGACGAGACAGACCAACTTAGACGAGTTCAAAAGTCAAACCCGCCCCATTTATTAACTTTTTTTTTAGAATTTGATTTATTACATAATTTACAACATGGTTAATCATTAACAAAGATGCCGACAAATTTTAATAATTCATAGTAAAACTTTAACAAGTCTTAATATAAATGTCAGACTCTTCAACATAAACAAACAACGTAACTATAATACCAAAAACTTAAAATAAACACATTAAAACCCCCAAAATAATTTTTTTTTATCATAATGAAAAAACAAACCCCTCAATGCAAAACTTACCTTATAACTTTAGAACCCGACTCTAATGACAACGAGTAATAGAAAATAATGTATTCTTTATGTTTTATAATAAATATTTTTCCTACTATGAGTGAAAATGAAAAATGAAGTCGAGAGCAATTAATGTCTTCAAAATAAGGTGTTTGTGGTTATGTGACATGTGAAAAATGAATATTAGGACTTGAAGAAACAATGGTTGTTTTAAAAGTATGTCTTCTACGTATCACGTTAATATTGTTTTAATTACAAGTAAAAAAAAAATTTAAAACGAAAAGCCTGTGGGCAAAACCCGCTCAGCCCTGCTCCTTGACTATTTTAAAAGTGGGTTAGGCAGGACATGACAACTTAAAACACCGAACCGAAAACTTCACCTCGACTTATAAAAAAGTATCTATTTGTGTTAAAATGGCGTGGTAAGATAGAATAACTAGATTTTTTTTAAGATATAAAAAAAACTCCAAAACATATATATTGCGGCCAAATCCAGTCTCTATCATATCATCTTCCCTTCAACAGACAATCTATCTTTGATGAATTTTATCTTTGGAAGACCAACAACTAAGTCATGTTTGATCAATTTGTTCAAATGCTCCATATGAATGTGAGCAAATCTTTTGTGCCATAACCAAGAGTCGTTGTTGTTCGCCATAAGACACTTAACCTTCAAAGACATGTTATCAAGGGAAATCATGAAAATATTGTTAATTTTATTACCTTTTAACATTACCTCATGAGTGACTTTGTTTTCTATCAAACATTCATCTTTAGTGAAGTTGATTCTGAAACCTCTATCACAAAGTTGGCTAATGATAAGTAGGTTATGCTTTAGGCCTTCTACATAGAGGACATCTTCTATGGTTGTAAAAGGTGGTG